TCCCCAGTCACACAAAGCCACGAGTTCACTCAGGTTGTCTCTAGCGGGGAAGATCGAGTGTTGCGCACACTTCCCTTTTGCCACTTTGAGCTGCTCGCACGTGCTAGCTGGCTGCACTATGCAACACTCCTACCTAGCAGGCTCATTGAGCGATGCAAGTGGATCACAAGCAAAGGTCTGACAACGAGCGTAGTACCGCACGGGCTCTAGCTCTGACAACGTGCGAGGTAGCACAGGTCCCTGACAATGATCGAACGACGAGCTCAGTAGCGCACAAGCACCAGGCGACAGTCTGACAACGAGCACAGTAGCGCGCAAGCTCGACCCCACTACAAGATCAGTAGCCAGCGAAGTTCCAATGGTGCGCACGGTAACCAGCAAGCTCTTGATGATGGTCCAATGGCGCTCAACTAGGCGCACAGTTTCCCCAACGCTGATCTGACAGTGCATGCCTGGATGCGCGTGGGATTGGGACAACTGTGCGCCTAGGCAAGCGCCATTGGACCATCATCAAGGTTGGACCATCATCAAGGTTGGACTTGTTGGAACAGACCCAACCTTGGGATTGGGACAGACCGGACCTTGGAATATGAAGGGTCGGTCCCGTTCTAAAAATAAACCGGGCCCGTGCTAATTATAGCACGGGACAGGCTGGACCTTGGAATACGAAGGGTAAACCAAACCTCTTGTAAGGATTATAAGGGCCCAATCTCGTGTTCCCCAGGCCGTTTTGGACCGTGCATTTCCCAGCCCAGCTATACAGCCGCACTGGTCCGGTCCTAAACGGTCAAACTCTAATTTTCTTACTAACCCTTGGTCCGTTTCCAATGACGTTTGAACCGGGTCCCACAAACTTTACCCTTGCGGTTGCGATGGTTCAGGCCGAAGGTCATGATTCTGCTTATATGAGGCTGGACCGTCGTGCTGTCTTTTTCGTTGACTCGGCCCAAGGGTTCTGACTGACCATGCCCGTCGGCAGTCCCTGGCGCGCTTGCACGGAGGCTGACTGTGGCCAGTCAACTTCCGCTGCCGCACTGTGTCTTCCTCTGACAGCGTGGGCGCGAGAGTGAGAGAATGAGAGAGAGAGATGAGCGACTTGTGTATGAATCAGTATGATCCTGGCTATTTTGAACTGCAATGACACAAAGAAAGGCAATGCTGTTCAATTGCAAATGAAATGAAAGAACTCGGAAACAGAAGAAGAAGAAAAAGAAGATGAACACCAGCAAAGACCAATGTCATATCCCACTCCAACTTGCCATCTCATTTCAACCTCCTTATCTCCCCCAACCTTTTCACTCGATAAATACTAATAATAACAATGAAACAATGAACCAGAACCAATGTCCAAATCTCCTCCTTACTGCCAAAAACACGTGAGGTCCACCATAGCCCCGACCAACACCTACCTTCTCTCTTTGGTAGGTGGCTATGGCAGACTAGTGGGGCCTGTCCGCAATGTTCGAAGAACAACACAAAGCTGATATGTCCTCTCTACTAAGGCCTTCATGCCTAACTCTGCCCTGAACCCGTTGTGAAGCTGATATGTCCCCTCTACTAAGGCCGTCATGCCTAACTCTTCCCTAAAGCCTTCTGTGAAGTAGTGCACCCCCACTGGGGCCTTAAAGGTGCAGCATGGACCAAGAAGATGAAGATGCCGTCCACCATAGCCAGGGTATTACCCCTCCACTGTCCTCCTAGCCCACCTTCTTATTCCTGCCCCTACCTGTGCTGCTCTGCCATAGCTGGAGCTGGAGCGCTCGGCCACCTTCTTCCTCCCCAGTGCTGAGAACACCAGCGCTTGCTCCAGCAGCGTGATGCTAAACTTGCACACCAGAAAATGAGGGAGAGCTCATTGCTCTCCCGAAAACCTTGGGCAACTTGCCTCTTGGGCGTCGACTTTCCAGGCCGCTCGGCCTCCCAAAATATATAAATGAATTTAATAGTTTAATAATATATATATATATCCTGATGAGTCGGTGAAACTCCGACGAAACAGTTTGTCACAGCCCCTCGTTTGTTGTCCTCTTCTCCCTCTCTGCCTACGGTTTACCGGGCAGTTCTATTTGACGATATATATATGTATATATTCACTACGCGGCCATGCTGTGCCTCTAGTGCCAGCAGCGTGTCTGGAGTGTATTTTTTGGCTGTGACAGACCTTTCTTTGTTTCGTGGGTGTTTTGCTGGCTTGTGATGGGGTGTGAACCGACAGTCTGTAGAGTTTTCCATCTGGTGTGGGTGAGAGATAGTCTAC